ACTCTTCTTGGTACAGAGATCGAAATTCTTGAGGGTTCGCACCGCCGGCGGCAAGAAGAGAGTAATTTGAACTCATTCCTTCCACATAGTTGCAACACCACGTATGTCTCGATTAGCTGACGCCATGATACCATCGGTACGTCTACTGATCCACTGTGATTGAAACGTAGGTTAATAGGACGAGTCCTGCTCCATGTCAAAAATTTGTCACCAGAAATGAACTCATATTTCGGCAGATGACACCTCGCTTACACTATGAAAAGTAGGGGTGACTGGTAAGGCGTTTGACTCTAATGAGGACTTCCGAAATGTGCATGAGCCACTAACAGACATATCAAACCTCGAAAAGGCTCAAAAAATCCCCCAGACTACGAGAAGTATCTCTCTACAGACAACTGCCCGCCTCTTGGCAGGAGATCTCGCTCCACCTTCCGTTTAGATTCATTGAAACTTCTTCAAATATTCATTTGTTCAAATTGTTCTAGTATTATCTTAATAGGTTTGTCTTAAAACAGAGTATCCAAAGCACATTTCTCTTCGTTAAAATCCTGCACACTGAATTCTAACGGAAATGAATCACCGTGAGACGAAAATGCGTTGGAGAACATCTTTGAAACAGGACTTTTTGCATTACAAACAATTACCAATTTATAAAAGCGATTTTCTGTTGTATTGAGCTCTATAAGTTGCCCTATAACGGACCACATGCGTGGCTCAAAAAATGATTATCTTGCATATCTTTTATTGCATGGGGAACCTTGCTGCTAGTCAACAGAAAGCGAGGGAATAAAACATTTGACGAACTACACTCTGTTTAAAACTCTGAGTTTGGCAAGCATCCGCACTAAACCGTTATTGTAGCGATTTTGGAACTATGTTAGGCAGAATTTAGGTGTCAAGGGCAATTAGTAAGTTATAATGGTACCATGAGGGGTGTTAAACCACTCTCCTGGGAATTTGAGTGCGGTTCTCATCAAAACGTCTTGCACTTGTCAGCTTACATCGTTTAGAAGTGCAGTTTGACGGGAAATATACACGACACTTATGTCACGTGAGAAGGATCGACTCATTGTCGCTTTTTTCCCGTTCGCTTGCTTGTGCTTCACTCTCATGTTCATGGCTATTAATCTTACTCACTGAAGTCGTTTAATGTTAGATTGCTCATGTGGACATTTGTACACATCCTCGGAAAAAGCTAGTACTTCATAACTTTTCCACAAATCATAGAGCAGGAAAAGATGCAAATAAGCAGGCCGATATTTCAATTTCTTAATTTCCGGAAAGGAGCTCTCTTTTTACATAGAATTTCATGCTTCAAATCATTTCATTAGTGATGCTCTGTTTCTTGCTTCAGCAATCGTTCATTTCCTGTTGCGCCTACGCGTTAATAACTGCAGAAGGGTTCAGATAGAAAGAAGATCTAGAGATAAGCGAGATTTTCAAAAAGCGAAAAGATATAGGAAGACTAAGAACAGACGTTGATTGCATCGACGTAAGCGTTTATCGAGAAATGTCCGCGAATCCTAAATGGTTCCCACATAACTAAATTATTGACGAGTCTTTTTTAAGAGGGGAGAAATTTGTCTAGGAGCTGATTCTTTTTCTAAAAGCGATTTCTGTTTCAGAAATGAGGATATTTTTTGTAATACTGAAAATCGTAAAAGCATTGTGCGCCATACGATTAGTTATTAGATCGAGTTTCTTACGTTGTCGTTGTGATATAATAAAATTTTCTGGTGATGTTCTCGCTATTCATCTAATGACTCCTCCTTACATGTATAGTGCAAACGACAGCGCTTCTTTCATTTGATTCGTGTTCTTAGATACTGGTCAACTCAACGATGAATAAAGTGTCGCCGTTTCCCCGTCGTAGAAGCAATTGTCGCCAGTCAGCAAAGACCAGAAGAGAGTTTATTCAACGTCTCAATGGCAGGTGAAATTTTTATCTGTCTTGTTTTTCTTTGAAAACTAAACTTCCTTGAAAAGCCCAACTTTTTCGCTGAGTGCCAGAAAAAATTCTAAGAAACTTTTTTGATCAGGCTTTCTGCATTCTCATAACGATCTCACCATCGTGCAGTAGACGATTGTGGCAAAAATTTTCATTTATATTTTATTAAGCATTATTTTGTTTGATTCTATGTCGTCTTTGTTACGTGTTAGTATCGGAGTACTGATTGTTATGCTATCAGGTGAAGAGAGGCAGAGGAGTTCCATGGATTCTATGGCAACCAAAATACCTCTTTAGCCTCAACAAAGCTTCATTATTTTTTGTTTACGGTCAAAATTTTACGAACTTTATTCCTTGTATTTTCGAACTTTTCGGCGTACAAAGCATCAAGGCAAAATAGACTGTGACTATTTTGCTCACGGGCTTTATTGCTGAGTGATTAAGGGTGACTATTTTCAAGCGCGTGAATAGAAAGAAAGAGTCTTCATTGGTGATCAATGAATTATAATGTTCTGTGAATTATCTCAAACACCTATCTTGCAAAAACGGTAAGGTGAAACATAGAGCCGGAACACCCACATAGCGACAACGATCACCTTTCAATCACCGAATCAACTCAATGCGCCTTTGAATGAGGCAGAAATGCCGAAACTTCAGGCGCACAAATATTTTGATTTCAATTTCTTAGTTGGCTTATGATTTGGAAAAGAAATAGTATGGAACATTAAGGCTTCTGGCCTAAAGAACTTCTAAGGTAGCGATATTGGAACCAGAAGTCGACTAACAGAGAAAGCTCAGTAGGACTTGGTCAAGTACCCTAGTCCTGAGAGATATCAAACTTCTAGGAATGTTCCTAAAAAACATAGTGGGTTTAAATGGCCCAAAACTACTCTGCATCATTTTGAACCGTTTCTAACTATGTGTTATAGTCGGGCATTTGTTAATGTCAACTGAACATTCGCGAATGATATCACGACTGCAAAAGGAATGTGTTCTCCCATATCTCTTACATAACATTGATATTTCTGGGATTACGTAAACTGATAACCATATAACTTTATAGCATAAATTTTCGGTTCCTCTCTGGCGTTTTATATTACACATATTAACCCTTTGGGCACGACAGGGACACGCCGTCAGTTTCGCCTCGCCGCGCGACTTATAGTCCTCAGGGCCCTATGTGGTTAGCGATGCAGCGCGCGGGGAAACGTAGTCAATAGAATGTCGCTCTGCTACCCAAAGGGTTAAGCAAAACAAGTGCCCTGAACAACCTCTCTGATCCGAACACCTACAGCGAAGTGCACATTTGTATCTGGTCTATGACATGGTCAATAGAAGCACATAACGCAACGATCGTTGAGTTGATCGTGCTCCGTTGTCTTTCAAATCTTCCGTTTTTCCGAAATCGGCCAGTGCATGCATGCCAGAACTGTGAGTATAAAATATTAGATAAACTCATCGGCCATAGTTTATCATAAACCAGATGTACCTTCAGTGGTCTCTGAAATGTTTGAGATCGAATACACGGCAAATTCTTAATGGATTGGTTTCATCGATTCGGTACTGCATCTATTTTCTGTTAACTCGTCGTCGGCCGGATTCTTAGTGAAGCGTGATTGCAATATCGGACAAAAACGACCCAAACCATCCATAGACCCTGGAAAAGGGAAAGTTTGGTGCACTCACACATGTCTCTCCAACTGTTACGGAGCCTGCACAGTCTTCTGCTCATGCTTCAACTTCCTCAGACTATTCGCACTTGCCTAAATGAGCAAATAAGCGTGTACCTCAAATGGTGCATGTAGTTCCGAACAGAATGGGTAATTTTGTGGAACCGAAAAATTGTGTGGTGCACTTTGTATAACAGAGCCGTGGTCGCAAGCTATATGCAAGCCTTAGCGAGCTTCTATGGAAGTGTGATGAAGGAGGAACGACGTCATTGGCTATGGACAATCTTTTGTAGCTGTTGTGTTGAAATATTTCTTCACTCAACGTAAAAGATAATTATTCTGAAGTCACGACAATGCGGAATGTTTAGCAATAGTAATTTTGGTCGCAGAGCGGTAGCACTGGTGGTGTAGTAGTAGCATGTGCTTCGACGAGGTAAAAACTCGGGTTCTGATATTACTTGCGGTCGAACTTTTGCGTACCGCTCATTTCTGTTTTATCAATATTTCAACATCATACTGCTGCTGTAAAGCATCACATTAGCGAAATATAGTAGTGATAGTGTTGAAAAGTCCTCTTCTTCGATACACTCAAAGTGCTAAAGTTTTGTTTGATACCGTAGCTCTCTACGTGTTCACCCGGTGCATTGGCTTATCGCAAAATAGGTTCCCTACGTGAACACGTAACCTTTGTAGGAGTCGTACTATGTGAGATCAATGATGGCTTCAGAATATAGGCTCGTACATCCCAGCTCATGATAAGGTTTTTTAACTGCAATAAAATTCATCAAGATTCACAAAATATGCCCTAAATTAGAAAGCTCTTTTGGTGAAGATTAAATTCCGATTTTCTAAGCCCTGATATATAAGATATAAGTATATATATATATATATATATATATATATATATCCACTTAATGGAAAACGAATGCAGATGAACAAACGGGGTTTCGTCCAACACGACACCATTGTCATTCCAATGCGTGTTTTTGTGTCGTTGCGAAATTGATGTGCGAATCCTAATCTCATTTTTTGCACATATTCTGGAATTAATCTGTTTTTCCAATGCTGTTCTGTAATACATTAATTCGAAGTTTATGAATTTTCATTTTGTATAATTAAATTCAAAAAAAATTAACTGCTACTTCAACTTCAGGGATAATAATCATCACAGACATTCTTTTGTTATTGAAGACGCGATGAATTGAAAGCCTTAATGGAAACATAGAAACGCATTTACTCAAGAAATTGTAGGAAATTTACTGTTTTCCAGTATTTCTATAATATTATATCTTTACTTCGAGTGTTATATTGAGACTACGCTCAAATTTCAATGTATCTCATAATTCTATATACTTAAGTGAATTGAGTGGTGAGCAAAAACACGGCCTCAGGCGGGAATCGAACCTGCGTTTCACTCTATCCAGGGACACGTGTTCTACCACTAGACCACCAAGCCATTACAACAACTACCACTATCTCGTAGTTATTATTTGAGCCAGCATGTCATTTGGTCTGTCAATGGGCTCTTGTACAGCCCGATACACGTGTTTCGACCTCATAGTCTCGTCAGTCGGCCAGAAGCCGTCGTCTATTAGAGGTATAATGTTATAGAAATACCAACCAAAGAGCAATCGCGTGTACATCACTGTATGTTCGGTAATAACTCACTTGACTTACAGTGTGAATTGTTCGTTTTCGCTATCTCTTCATAGGGAGAGTAGGGCTCTCGAGAAGGTAGGCTAAAAAGACTAAAAGACGACGGGTTCTGCTCGGCTGACGGGACTGTATGGTCGAAACACGTGTATCGGGCTGTACGAGAGCCCATTACCAGACCACATGACCTGTTGGCTCAAATAATAATTATGAGATGTTTGCCAGTATTTTGACTGTTTCCGAGAATTCTAAGAAAATTGGACCGCCAAGAAGGTTCGGAAAAGTGGTGTCATTCCGACCGAATTAGAAATGAAGAAATGGCCATTTTGGAATATTGTCGGTATTTCTTCTGCGCAAGAAATGGCCTGTATGTTTATTGAATAGTGACGAGCGACGAAAACTGATTTTTCCACGACAAGTGACGGCAATGGGTTTAGTGACTGAACTGCAGTGAAGCTCCATAAACTTCTCTATTTCAAAATTTCACCAACAGAAAGCCATGTTGATTGTTTAGAAGTTTGTTACCGGTTTGATTAATCGCAGCTCCCTATGTCCGATTGAAATAGTCATGGGAAGCAACTACGATCAGGAAATCGACAAAATGCACAATAAAAGTGGTATGCGTCCAGTACCGAATAACAGAAAGAATTTAATTCTTTTCCACGACTATGAGCAGCTACAAGTCGCACAAGCGACGATAGGAAGGCTGATCGAGCTCGGCTACGAAACTCTACTCCATCCATCATATTCGACGGATTTCTCGTCGGCCGATTTCCTCTCTCAAGATCTCCTCCTGTGCTGCAAATTGTTCAGAAATTAGAACGAAGCCAAAACTGCTGTTTTCTCATGGAAAATGGTTTATGTGTGCAGCCCGAATACATGAACTTAGTTTGCTAGCGAATTCTTTAGCTTCTGTAGCTCCTAATCAAAACAATAGAATTTCTTCCAGAGTTGAGTTATGCCACTTCAAAAGTGCATAAATAAAATAGTACATCAAATTGGAATAACCTAATAAAATGCTCTAAAGCGTGCAGGAACAACAATAACGACGGCTCGTTTACGACACATAGAATTCAATTAACGCAATCAACAAGAGCGTTTTAGCGTGCCATCAAGCCAATTGACTAAATAGAATTTCGCTGCCAATGCATGAATAATGCTGAGAAAGGTGGCACTCTGCTTATATATTCTTCCAGAAGGAACGTGATAATATAGGTACATCCTGAAGTGCGGTCCGAGTAAATCAATAAGCTTTGGATTCACTTTCTTATTACTCATGCCAAACGCAATCCCACTTGTGCTGTGTTGAAATATAATCCAATAATTCTCTTACTAATGGGATGCGGATAAGGAGAGAGTGTAGAGGTCAAGTATCCTGTTCTTGACCTTAGCACCGACCAACAATGGATTAACGAAATGTGACACCCTTGTTCCAACAGCTCTGTCCGAAGGTGTGAGCGCACAGAATTTTATGGCTAATAAGAGCTCAAAGCGTGCATTTCCGTTTACTAACAGGCTTCTTCGCAAGGGATTCTAATCAAGAGAAACACGTAGACCAAGAGTGTGGGTGCAATTAAATGCACCCCGTCCTCTATGAATTGCCATCTGCTCTTTGCAGTCTTCACTTCGAATTGATTGAACAATCATAAGTGCAATAGGCAAGCTGGATGATGGTGGTAAAATAAGACTTCCTTTCCAATTATCCCTGCATTTTATATTGCCTAATGAATGCTGGAGCTTCAGGTTTCAGTGAAGCTCGTCAGTTTGATCCTTGCCCTTCATGCGCAGAAAGTCATTCTTAGCACATTGAGAACCTAATCGAAGTTGGAATTTCTTTGCAAAACAAAGCTTTGCGCCATCATCGTTGAGCAACATAAATCTGTAAGCCATTTCGCGAATATATTCTCACTAATTGCACCATTCTATCATCAAATTCCTTAATAAGTCCTATATCCATCCTTTTACATTCCTTCCGAAACGTTTCTTCTGACAGAACTACTTCAAAATACTGGTCACCTTTCCGATATTTTGAAGAAAATCGTTGCATTCTTTTTCTATCATTTGGAGTGATATTGTTTCTGTCGCTTAATTCTTTTGCAAAAAATCCACATCAATTTCATTAGCACTGAGTCTTTGACACGATTCCTTAACAGACTCTCAAATCACTCTTGAATTCCTCACTACTGAATTCCGCCATCTGACTCAGTAAATCACAATGTATTCGTTCAAATGTCAAGAGTTTTGCATTTTCTCGACTATTCAAACAGTACAGGAAATAACAATCACTAGCCTTTCAGTCGATTGCTTTTTAGCCTTGGAAAGGCTCGAAACAGTCTCCGAGGACAATTAATAGCTCTGCTATGAACCGCTCTTTTACAGACCCGCTCAAAACGATTTAATCTGATAAGGATATGACATGTTTTGAGCCGATAGGTCTAGTGCCATATAGGCGCCTATTTCGTCCTATTGGGACTCATCAGTAGCACCCTCCCTCGGTTCCGTCGATCCCTTGAGGTTAAAGAATCCTCTAAAGGAACCGACGCCGAGTAAAAACTAAGCACCCCAAGTCGGATGATGGTATTACCTGACTTTGCGGTGACCGGCAGTCGAGCTTGCGGCTTTTAGAATGAACCATACCTCTGCCAGCGACCGCTCCTTTACAGACCCACTCAAAACGATTTAATCTGATAAGGATATGACATGTTTTGAGCCGATAGACCTATCGGCTCAAAACATGTCATATCCTTAACAATTAATAGCCTCAAAATTTTCGAAAGTAGTCTTCTGTCGAAACCACGAGCTTACTACTTACATTGGGATTTTTCGCTTCACATTCGAAATTGCCATCCTGTGGAGTCGTGCTACTACATAGTTAGCTCAGTAATGAGGCACAATCCGCTTAATAGTTCTATCCCAAACTAACAATTAAATACTACGGCAGCGCGACAGCTACTTATTGGTGGCAGATGGCCAGCATTTGCCAACCCACCATCAGGCTTCCATGGCCAGCTCGGCATAATCTCATCCGGTTTTTCTCGCATCCTTGGAGAACGTTTTGAGCAAGATTCCTACTACTTTCAACTCATCATGTTTTGATTGATTTGAAGCGGTAAAAACGTCAAAAATAGCAGGTTTCCATGATTTATTACATTTCCTTTTCGTCCGCCTGAGTGCAGTATGTTTTGCTTTGTGAACTAAGCTCGCCATGTTGAAAACAAAACAAAGTGATTGATATGTTTGTGTAACTAAGCAACAACGACAAGGCACATCTGTCGCTGTGTTATTTCTTCTTCTTCTTTACAATTCATTCACATATTCGCCTAATCCCGCGCTGATCTATTAGTCGTAGTACAAGCGACCTCAACAAGTTGAAAGCTAAGGAATTCAATATTGGGCCGTCGGCTTAACGCGTTCCGCTTCATCGGACCTTTCATTTGTGGCTCTCTCATTAGTGGGAGTTGACAGCTTTATTGCCTCAATGGCGTCTCTATATAACCCAATTCGACTGGCGTAAGTGAATCTATGGCCGCACACATTGCTTCAACGGTGTAGTGCTACGTTGCTGTTGAATGTACAACGAAAGTTCATCTCCTGTTCAGTCGCTTAAATTAAAAAAGGTCTCCAATTTTCCCCTCTCTGGGACCATTTTAGCAGATTCGCTGCATTTGCTGAATGAACATCGTTTCAAGTGACAAAGTTCCTCCCACCCACTATGGTCCCATAAAAGCTCGCGTATCTCTGTCAATCCAGCAAAAAAGTGTCTACAGCAAGCGGCATACTACAAGTGATTTTTTGATTCAAGCGGTTTTTTGTAGGGAAGTCATCTGAATGGAAAACACTACAATTTGGAGTTTTATATGATTAAAAGTGGGAAAGGCGCTCAAGTAAAGAAAATCGTAGCAATCTCGTAATCGTAAGGAATCTTCTTCAGCAGATTGCCACAAATCGTTTTTCGACATCCTTCGTACATTTTTCTATTTACATTTCTTTTTTTCGATAATTTTCTGAACTAGATTCTGGCGACACTATCAACTATAGAGTTGCCATATTCTGTGAAGGGCGATCACAGCATTTTCTGGTATATATACTACAATGTACAAGGCTTTTAGTCAAGACGCCCTATAACCAAGGTCTTAATGCCGAAGGTGGCATGCGAGAATATTCATTCATATGATAATAAGTCAGGATGATATTTTTGCTTTATGATAATGGGTTGACACGAATAACGGTCTTTTAATAGCTTGGTAGAATGTTCGTCGCATTTTTTCTCTAAATCGTTAAACTTTTTGAGGATAGAGAAGAATTCCTTATGGCAGACTATTCTCTAAGGTCGAGCCGCTAGCATAAAGTGATTTGTCCTCACTGAAGAGGAACAATGCCACTAAAGTTCCGTTTTTCAATTACCGTGAGCCCCTGTAAGCATCAAGTGGACAATTTGTCATAAGTGCATGCAATAAATCTGCGCCGAACAATGTGCTCTTTCACTGTATCATATAAATTGTGGCAGTAATAGTCACAAAGTCCCGTTTTTTTATTGTTGTGTAGTTTGTTACGATTAAATAGACAATTTATCATAAGTGCAAGGCGGAAAACTATGGCAAACAATGGGCTTTTTTCACGGTATCGAATAAGGTCCAGTGGATTGATTAATCCTTTAGTTGCGTCGACATAACTTTAGACTCTCCTACTCAAGTGTCCTGTGGAAAGGATAATGCTAGATGAAGCTTCAGCGTGCTTCAAAGGGCCATAGTCAATTGTTTCGGTGTCCTATATTTTTCAATCTGCGTCCTTTTGGTATGTTCC